AGCTTGAACCACTAACCTTGAGGTTCAGACCGACCTTGCAGTCCAGCATATTAACCTGTAGTGATACATCTCAAAGTTTAAGAGGTTATATATCCAAATCCAGAATACCAACTCTAGGGAAAGGTTTTTGTCTCCATTCAGCATCTGGACATCCCATGGGTCTTGACATCAGGCATTCCCTGGATCTAGGAGCTTCATAGTGAGGAACCCAAAGTACAAAGATACACACTCCTCCTGGTTCTGCTTTCTAGGTGCTGATGGGTCCCTCTCCATAGTACTTTCAGTATTCTTCTCCAATACCATAATTCAAGTGCATCGGTTCTTTTAGAGTATTCCTTATTGTCTTAGACTGGGTTTTCTAGAGAAGCAAACCCAGTGAACCATATACATGTATGCTTATTATCAAGGAAATGTCTGACAATTATAGACTCCCAGGTCCCCAGTAGAAGACAAGGGGGAAGGGTTTCCCTCTTCTACATTATATAGGGAGTAGGTCACATCCCCAAGGAAACATCTTTTCAATTGATTGGCTGCTCATAGCAAATCATCATCATGTTAACTATGCCTGTATTAGGTTTCATCACCATGGGAATAACTGCTAACCCCATTGGAATTCCTGGTGTCAAACTCACACTTAACCCTAACTATTACACTTATTCATTGTCCAGAGTTTGCATGCATACGGGGCATGGAAATACCATGGCCTGAGTCAGGCATACCTTAGTCCTTAAACTGACATCTTTGCTCTTTAACATTTTAAAGAGGTCTTTTGCAGCAGATTTGACTAATGTAATAATACATCCATTGATTTTTTTTTTTTTTTTGATTGCTGCTTCCATGAGTGTTGTTGATTGTAGATCAAAGCAAAGTGAAGTCTTTACCAACTTCAATCTTTTTGCCATTATCATGATGCTATTTATAGGTCACGTTGTGAGGATTTTAATTTTCTTTACATTGAGGTGCAATGCATACTGAAGACTATAGTCTTTGATCTTAATCAGTAAGTATTCTAAGTCCTCTTCACTTTCAGCAAGCAAGGTTGTAACATCTGCATATTGCGGGTTGTTAATGAGTCTTCTTCCCATCCTGACGACACACTCTTCTTCATCTAATCCAGTTTCTTAGACTATTTGCTCAGCATACAAATTGGTGAAAGGATACAATCCGGGCACACATCTTCCCCGATTTTAAACCGTTCAGTATCCTCTAGTTGTGTTCTAAAACTACCTCTTGGTCAATAAATAGTTTCCTCAAGACTGCAATTAAGTGTTCTGAAATACCCATTCTTATCCAGTCCACTCCGCCCACAACGCAAATGCCTACTTATCAGTCTGTATGCATTCTACTTCATTTTTTTTCAAAGTTAAATATGTGAGATTTAATAAGAGTACAATGAAATATTCTTGCTTTTTGGTATATTATTTTCACATAGAGAAGGAAGGATATTTTATAGAAGAGTTGGGCATAGAATGGCAACATCAGTCAAAAATTGATAGTTTTGCATCACAAGTGTCATCAACACACCAAAGGAAGGCAGTTGGAAGCTTGGAAATTTCATTTTTGATGACTTCCAATTTTCCTAGATTCATACTTTGTACATTCTACATTCTGATTATTAATGGATGTTTGCAGCTGTTTCTTCCTGTTTTGAGTTGTGCTACATCAGCTAATGAAAGTCTTAAAAGCTTTGCTCCATTCATGTCATTAAGGGCAACTCTACTTTCAGTTGTATTCTGAGTGCCTTCCAACCTGAAGGGCTCATCTTCTGGCACTGTGTCTGACAATGTTCTGCTGCTATTTAGTTCAGTGACTAGCCATCTAGAAGTGGCCCACCTCTCCTTCTTCCTAGTCTGTCTTAGTCTGGAAGCTCCACTGAAACCATGCACAAGTCTTCTGGTACTTAATATACTGGTGACGTAGCCTCCAGCATCACAGAAACACACAAGCCACCATTATATGACAAACTGACACACAAGTGTCATATATAGTACAAGCATTAAAATTACCAAGAAAAATAGTTTTGCTGTCAAAAATCTATATACAAAACTGCATAACGAAAAAAATGTTATAAGCAACAAATATCAAAATATCATAGTACTAACTTAAATAAGTAGGAGTTAGAATGATAAAACCAGGAAATTGGTGTGTGTTTTGTTTTTAATGTTTTACTGTGCTTTAGATAAAAGTTAACATAGAAAATTCATTTCCCAATCAATAATTCACACACTAATTTTCTGTGGCATTGGTTATAATTCCTGCAATGTGTCAGCACTCTCCCATTACCTCCTTGAGTGTCTAGATTCCACTCATCTGGTTTCTCTGTCTCCTTGCCTTCTCACCTTTGGTTTTGGACAAATATAGCCCTTTTGGTCTCATACAGTTGATTGTTCTAAGGAGCATTTTGTTCACTGGTGTTATTATTTGTTTTACAGACCCATATATTATTTGGCAGAGGGGTGCCCTCGAGGAATATCTTGTTTCAATTTAGAAGATTGTCCTTGAGTACTAGTTATGGGGTAAAATAGTTTTCTTTTAAAGTACAAGCAAGAAAACTGGAAACTACTTCTCATATCACTTACAGTTACCTGGACCAAACCTTACAGTTAAAGGTGCACACTTTAATTTCTCTACCCTCCCTAGTCATGGAGTCAAGGTCTAGATGGAGTAATAGGATCATCTCAGTAGCACATGGAAATACACAAATATGTAATTTAGAACATTTGTGCGTTTAGATACACGAAATTGGTGCCTTCTAAAAATATCAATGGAAATCTCATCGTCCTACAAAGTTATATAATAAAATCACTTTAAAGTAAATTGGATTCCTTTACTCTAGAAACTGATCAAAATATTTTTGAAAGCTATAGCTCAGCATGTTGTTGTTGTTAAGTGCAATTGAATTGGTTCCTATTCATAGTAACCCTGTATAGAATTTCCAAAGACTATAAATCTTTATGGGAGCAGAAAGGCTCATCTTTCTCCTGTGGAGTGACTCGTATGTCTGAGTTGCTGACCTTGTGATTAGCAGTCCAGTGCATATCCTACAACATCACTAGAGCTCCTTACATGTTAGCATACAGTCGTGCAATTTCTCATTTCTTTTTCTTTAAAAAGATGGAATTACTAAATTATGAAAAATTATAAATTACATTTGTTTAGTTATAGTTTATGATGGTCAAATTACTCAACTTTTTGTTAAAAATCTATTTACGCTGAAATAAAAGATTCCTAAAATCTTAGTACATTTTCATAATTTCTCTACATAACAATGCCATATTCATCAGTTACAGTTAAACTCTATTTTATTACTTCTGTTTTCATTTTTGCATAAAGTAAAAGCAAAATTAGTTAAATATGTTTCCAAAGAATATCACATGGTTTATGAAATACTTCCTTCCCACTTACCGTGTGAAATATCTTCAATTTTTCTGCCATACAAATCATAAAGATATCTGGCTGGTGAATTCAGATCCATTTTCATTGTACAAGTATCTAAAACCTATATAGGAAAACAAACAAAACCCTATAAACAGCTTGTAAAAGTCTGCCTTGTAAAATTGAATACACATTTAAACACCTTTCTATACTACCTACATGGCTAATTAAAAATGAGACGATAAAATAAAATGTAATGATTTACAAAATGTTTTTAATACATGAAAAAAAGCAGTTAAAATGGTTCGAGTTCATCATATTTATAAAACACTGTAAAAAAGGCATAGTCAGTATCTGATCTCTTCTGACTTCACAAAGGGAATCAACCTTGATATCAGCCCAAGGTCCATTCTTATGAGAATGATGTCAGACATGCCTCAACCCTCTGAACTTCCTTACCAGTTCTAACCATCCCTTCCACAGCATTCTCTATTTCACTGCTGGGTTTGATAATTCACTACAATGGCCACATGATACTTAGGAAACACTCACAATAATGGGGTTTATCAGGTAATTTGTTGTTGTTGTTGTTGTTGTTAAGTGCCTTCGAGTCGATTCCAATCCTGTTTCCAAGGAGCAACTGGTAAGCCTGAACCACCGACCTTGCAGTTTAAACGACTTTGCTGTTTGATGCATTAACCCACAGCACCACATTAGCAGGTGGCAATTCAGGATCAGAAATGTTCAAGATACAGTTCTTTGGACAGGAAGCCTCTTCCCTACTGTGCCCCCAAATAGGCCTCTTTCTGGCCCATAGTCCTTGGTCTGGCATCCCTGCTCAGGCAATGTTACATCACTCTTTTTTCCCCCCACACTTTCAATAAAGAGCTAAAGGGAACTCCACTATGCTATAAGCCTCAGTCTACAAACACTTGGCTCCAGCCCCATGTGTCAGCAAACCTAGCTCCCCCAAAAAAGTGTCTGGAGGAACCACATTCAACAAGTGAGCCTCTTTCCCATGAAACAGGAAGTCCACTGTTGTGTCTCTTGCTTTTGATGCTACTGCTCCTCTGCCCTCCTCTGCTCTCCTCTGCCACTTCTCTAGAATTACAACCTTCTGGCCTGAAATCAAGGACATTCACTACACAGCGAATTCAGCATCCAAAGGATGTGCTCCCTGGCTCTTCTTTCTTGCTGATACTGAGAGATCCCTCTTCTTGCTGCTGGGATAGCTACTTTTGAACACAGATATTGTTGCTGTTAGGTGTCGCTGAATCAGTTCCGACTCTAGAAAACCCTATGTAAGGCAGAACAAAACACTTTCTGGTCCTGCATCATCCTCACAATTGGTGATATGTCTGAGACCATCGTTTTTGCCATGTATCAGTACATCTCCTTGTAGGTCTTGTTCTTTTTCACTGACCTCAGTACTGTCCAGTCACTTCCAGTTCATTTCGTTGGTCAGAACTCTCTCCTACTACACACAATTAATATTTCAAACTATCTCCAGTTTGATCATCTCCACCCTGCTCAATGTCCCTTACATCCCTTATATATCTACAACTGCCTCCATCATGACCTCATGGTCAGAAATACTCTAGGGAATTCATTTAATTCAAATTCCTCCTTGGCCAATCATGTATGCAGTCACCTCCTTAGGTTCCCCACATTCTCTCTCTTCCCATCTTTTCTGTTCAGTTCTTGACTCCTTAAAATTGTTAAGTTTATTATTTAAAAGTATAATGAAATCCTCAGGTACAAATTACATTCCCTAGCTACTAGTGAAAGTTCAAATATTTAAATATCCTCCAAAGATAGAATTTAACAATTAAATTAAGTAAAACACAAGGTATTTAAAGACAGTCCCAATTATGTCAACCAAAATTGTAATGATTTTAAAATTTATTTCAAATATTGCTGCCTTCGAGGCTTAAAAATATCAGTCAAGTAAAATTACACCACTTTATAACTCATTCTTCTTTTCAGTGTGCTAAAGCATTGGTAAAAATAAATGATTATGCAAGCCAAGTTTTAAGAGTTAAATGAGTTGAAAACAGACTTTAGAAATTCAGGTACTAGAAATTAATAATACATCAGCAACATTGTCATTCTCTTCTATTTTCAGAATGAAAGATCTTTACAGTGTTTAAGCAAAACCAACCCCCAATAATCGTTTTATCAGAGTAAAGTATGAATTAGTATCTATGTAAGTTTTTGTGAAGAGTCATGAAATGAAGCCTCCACCTGTAAGGTCATTCTTAAAATTCACAATAGAAAAATACTTAACGATGCCATCTTGCTGTATTATTAAAGTTAATTAAAATACCATTTCCACTCACCTGTGCCTATTAAACTTGTTAAAATAGTACTTTAACAAAGTCATGTGTTGTTAATTTCTCAAAGCTTAGCTAACTCTTCTGATACTAAAAATTTAAATTAGCATGCTCTAAAAAGTTGTGGTGTTCGAGGAGAATACTGAAAGTGCCATGGACTGCCAAAAGAACCAATAGATCTGTTTTGGAAGAAATACATCCAGAGTGCTCCTTGGAGGCCAAGATGGCTAAGCTTCGTCTCTCATACTTTGGACATATTGTCCAGAGGGAACAGTTGCTGGAGAAGGATGTCATGCTGGGTAAGGTAGAGGGTCAGAGAAAAAGAGGAAGACCCCTAACGAGATGGATTGGCCAAGTGGCATCATCGATGGCGTCAAGTGTAGCAACGGTAGTGAGGTTGGCCCAGGATTGGACATTGTTTCGTTCTGCTGTGCATGGGGTTGCTATGAGTCGATTCCGACTCAATGGCACCTGACAATAACAACAACAAAAGCAGTATCTTCTTGACAGGCACTTGGGAAGTGATTTATCAAAAAGATCTACTTGTTTACAGTTCTTAGGGTCACCTGCACCCCAAGGCATTTCTGTTGTGGAGCTACAGCTCCTGAATGGGCACCAGCTGAAATGTATGGGTAAAGAAGCTACAACTTCTGGTTTGGTTTGCCACTATCTCAGTCAAGAAGAGAGCCTAAGCTCAGATCAACTTTGTCCCAGCCATCTGAGCCAAGTTAACAAACCATCAGGCCAACAATGTCCATCCTTCAAAACACAGAAAATCTTGGTAACTTCACATGTTCTTATGAGTAATCATTCAGAAATGTAAATCCAAATTTACATATATACACACACACACCCTTCTCAAAAGATCCTTCTCAAAAGATTCAACAAGTTGGTTCCCTCTTACAGAGACACTATATACAACAGAAAAAAACACAGTGAGGTCCTGTCACAGCCTTATAATCATTGTTATGTTTGAAGTCATTGTTTCAGCCATTGGATCAATCCATCTCTTTGAGGCTCTTCCTCTTTTATACCAACACTCTGCTTTACCAAGCATAATGTCCTTCTCCAGGAATTGGTCCTCCTGACAACATGTCTGAAGTATATGAGACAAACTCTCACTATCTTTACTTCTAAGGAGCATTATGGCTATATTTCATCCAAAATAGATTTCTTAGTTCTTCTGGCAGTCCATAGTAGTTTTAATATTTTTTATCAACACCAGTAATTCAAAGGCATCAATTATTATTCAGTACCCTTTATTTATTTGTGCAACTTTCATATGCACAGGAGGCGATTGAAAACTCCACAACTTGAGTCTGGAGCACTTTATAGTCCTCAACGTGACATCTTTGCATTACAACACTGTGTTGTTCTTAAGTGTCACCAAGTCAGGTCCCACCCATAGCAACCCTGTATAGGATTTCCGAGGAGTGACTGGTGAAGGTGAACCTGAGCCTCTGGCCTTGTGGTTCAAACCATTTTTGCAGTCCAGAGCATTAATCCACAGCACTACGCCAGGACAACTTTTGCAGCAGGTTTGCCCAATGCAATACTTTATTAAACTTCTTGACTGCTATTTCTATGAGCATTGATTATCAATCCAACTAAAATGAAACCCTTGACAATTTTCATATGTTGTCAGTTTATCACAATGTTGCATATTGGTTCAGTTGTGAGAATTTTTGTTTTCTTTATGTTGAAGTGGAATCCATACTGAAGTTTGTAGTTTTTGATCTTCAGCAGTGTTTCAAGTCCTCTTTGCTTTCAGAAACACAGTTGTGCCATATGCATATCACAGATGTATAAGACTTCTTTCAATTCTGATGCCCTATTCATACTATTTATTTCTCAGATTATTTACTCAGTATACAGATTAAATAAGTATGGTGAAAGGATACAACTCTGGTGCACAGTGTTCCTGATTTTCAACCATGCAGTATCTCCTTGTTCTGTTTAAATGACTGCCTCTTGGTCACTGTGCAGGACCCACATGAGCAAACTGAAGTATTCAGGAATTCACATTCTTTGCAGTGTTCTCCATAATTTGTATGATCCACACACTCAGAAAGGAGCTCTGGTAGCATACTGGTTACGAATCGGGCTGTGAACTTCAAGGCCAGCAGTTGGAAACTACCAGCTGTTCCACAGAAGAAAGATGAGGCATTCTGCTCCCGTAAAGATTTACAGCCTTGGAAACCCTGTATAGGGTTGCTATGAGTTGGAACTGACTCCACAGCACATACCAACAACAACACACTCAGGTGTGTCTGTTCATAGTCAAAAAAATATAAGTAAACATCATTTTGGTATTTTCTGCTTTCAGCCAAATCCATTTAACATTAGCAATGATTTTTCGCATTCTACATCTTGCTCTGATTCCGGTTTGAATTTCTGGCAATACCCTGTTGATGTGCTGCTGCAACAATTTTTGTTTGTTTGTTTGTTTTCCATATGATTTTCTGTGATAGTTCTCATTTTCAGAGAATAAACATATCAAGTCACCTTGTTAAAAACAAAACAAAACATGTTCTACAGTTTATAGAAATAAAGATAAGTGGCATTGGTTACATTCTTCATGTTGTGCCAACATGCTTGTTCTTTCTGGTGTGGATGTTTCACGTTCACTCACTCAATCTGCCTGCCCCCCAACCATCTCTTCTATGCTGTTGATGCTTGGTAGATTTTTGTGTTGTGTGTGTGGCACTATGGGTTAATGTGCTGGACTGCAAAGTCAGTTTGAACCACTAGTTAGGCGGTTCGAGCTCACCAACCGCTCCTCAGAAACCTT